AAAGATCATATAATAGAATATGCATTAAAAAAAGAGACAAATAAAAAAAATATTTTGAAGTAGCTTTGGATATTTTAAATATAATGTCATACTTTTTGGATTCACAAATACACCGACTTCTTTTCAACATCTAATAAATGATGTTTTTTGTGAATTTTTTTGATGATTTTTTAAATTTTTATTTAGAAAATAATTTAATTTATTCCATGAATATGAAAAGTATAAAATTCATATTTTTTGTATATTACAAAAGTTAAAAGATGCAAGATTATACACTAAGATGGAAATGTGTATATTTCATACTACATAAGTTGACTCCTTAGAATACCTCATTTCAAACAATGGACTTACAATAGATCCTAAAAAGCTTCAGACTATCATGGATTTAAAGATCTTAAGAACAATCAAAGAGATGCAATGTTTTTTGAAATTTTCTAATTATTACTAAATTTTTATCAAATTTTTTTTCAAGTTGTAGCTCCATTTATATGTTTGACTTATAGAAACGAACTTGAATAGAACAAAGAACCGAAAGTTGCTTTTAAAGCCTTCAAGTCAATATTTATTTCTACACCTATCTTATATCATGTCAATTTTTTGAAGACAATCTTCATACAAACAGACTCATCAAACTTTTCTATAGGTATTGTTTTGTATTAAATGAAATTAGATGATAAATTCCACCTTATAGCTTTTTATTCCAAGAAATTATTAGCAGCAAAGATTAATTATAACATCCATGACAAAGAGCTTCTTGCAATCGTGGATTCATTTTAAAAATGGCATCATTATCTAGAAGGTGCTTCTAATCTAGTCATTGTATATATGTATATCACAAGAACATTCAGTAATTCATGTCAACACATATTTTGAATTCTTGCCAAATCAATTAGAATATATCTTTATTAAGATTTGATTTGAAGATCACTTATCAACCTATAAAACAATAATATTTATCAAACTTTCTTTTTAGATATTTTTATCTTGTACCAAAAAAAAAGATGCATCTTTTAATTAATAAAATATGATTTTTTTGAAGTCAAAGCATTTTCATCTTTGAGCAATAAAATCAAGATTGACAATTGATTAAACTTTTGTCAAGCAAATTCAATTGAATATGTCTTTTGATTCTCTTGTTTATAATATCAAGAATAATTCTTCTAAGTCTCATGATACTTTCAAGTTTATATTCAAAAATATTCCATTCTATTTCAAAAGATGATTATATATTTTAAAACATAAAGTACAATTATGTATTCTTTAAACTCATTATCATTTTTTAGTAGCTAGATATTTTAGATACAACACGACTTTGGAGCTAATATCAAGAGATTTTTGGTAGCCTCAAATGTAGAAGGCAATTAAAAACTTTGTACAATCATATAATATATGTTCAAGATTAAAAACTCTTTGTTATCGATCTTATGGACTTCTTCAACTATTACCTATTCCAAAAAAACCATGGTTTTTTATTTCTATAGCTTTTATTATAGATCTTTTAATCTCAGATTTGCATGATTCTATATTTGTGATAATAGATTGTTTTACTAAAATGACACAATTTATACCATATATAAAATCTATCACAAGTAAAAAAATGGCTAAGCTTTTTTTTTGATAACATCTATTGCTATTATAGATTGTCCAAAGATATTATATTGAATAAGAGGATTTAATTTGTATCAAGATTTTGAAGAATCTTTTTTAAGATTTTGAAGGTAGATGTAAAGTTTTCCTCTATTTTTCATCCTTAAATTAATGGGCAAACAAAACAGATGAATTAAGTTTTAGAACAATATTTGAGGTGTATTATCAATTATAATCAAGATGATTGGATAATTGTTTTGTCATTGGCAAAATTTTTGTATAATAATTCAATATTTTCTTCTACTCAATAAACAACTTCTTTTGCTAATTACGGTTATCTTCTACAACTTAATATTTTTGACTTTTTAAAAGTAAATAATCTTGCGGTAAAAGATTTGACAAATTGTTTATCAAAGCTACATACAACAATGAAAGTGTAATTAAAAGAAGCTCAAGAATGACAAAAGACCAATGTGAATATCTATCATAAGAAACAACCATAATTAAACATGAATGAAAAGATATGGTTACTTTGTCGTAATATGAAGACTACTTGTCTTTGTGATAAATTGGACTATTACAAGCTTGGAATTTTTTCTATTTGTGAATAAGTCAATCTTGTTGTTTATTGAATACATCTACTATAATCTATAAAGATCCATCTTGTATTCCATGTGTCTCTTTGTGAGCCATATAAGACAATAAATATCTTGAAGAGAAGTCAAATGCCACGTCTTCCTATAGAAATGGATAATATTCAAGAATTTGAAATAAAAAAAGTCTTAGATTAAAGGCAGCACAAAAATAGATTAAAATGTCTTATTCATTGGCATATATATGATATTAACAAACGTACATGGGAGCTAGAAAAAAATCTTGCAAATTCAGCAAAGAGGGTTGAGATTTTTCTTTCAATAACATCCATCAAAATCAAGATAAACAATAGTAAATCTTTGTTATAGAAGAAACAAGATACAAAGAAGATAGCATTGTATCTTCTACTTTTTTTTTATAACTTCTATGTATTTGTGATACTAAAGATATGAAAAACCAATAATCTTTAAATTTATCTCAAGAGCTATCACTTATTGATTTATTGAATAAGACATTGTGATTGTCACAATCTTCAAGACTACGTAATCAAGATAAAGATCCTTAAGAATGATATGTTCTTACTCAAATATAATATATATGGTATCATGACCTTGGAAGAGACTCTCAATGTTTGATGATTTTATTAGAGGTTGGAACGACTCTTGATGGTGTTCCAAATGTTTTATTTGAAATGAGTTATAAAGGCATTAATAATGATCAAATAATAGGGTAGTATTTTCACCGTAGTATAAGATACTAACAATGGCTGAGAAGACCTATCAACCATCTTCAAAGAGAATAAAGATCAAAGTATGTAGCAAATAAAATTTTCTATATTTTAGATTTCTTTAATATATGATGACTGCTCCTCATGGAACTTGTCCCTAGAAGGGGAGATAATTTCATGGACATATATATTTATTCCAATAATTAATTATATGATTAAGTAGAAGTAGGTAAAAATAAATTTATTTCATAATATTTTTTAGAAAAGCTTCTGAGAAGCTTCAAAGACATTTTTTTGACTTTACATATATTTGTAGTTGATTAGTAGGTTAGAAACTTAGTCAATAAGTTAATTACATATTAACAGTTTGCAGAATAAGCTAATTATGTAACACATATATAAAAAACTTGCCTTGAAAATTAAGATATATATCTTGTAAAGTTAAAATATTTTGGAAGTATTATAGAACATTGCCATATAGTATTTAGTTAAATAGTATATATGGAGGCAAAAGTAAAACCTTCTTTACTCTTGCCAATTCTTTTTTAGTCCTTAGTTTTGTTTTAAGACTTTATAGTCTTCTTGTTTTTGGCAATAGCCATTCTAGTAAAATATATTACCATTTTTGAGTGATTTTTTAGTCTTTTCAAGTGACACAAGAGTGTATTTAGGTTATTTCTTTTTAAAAAAATGTCAAAGAAATTTAATAGATGTAGATTTTATTTATAGATGCTTTTAAATTTATCATGTGATCATGTAAATTTTTCATAAAAGTTTTTATTTTTAAAAAGCTACCATAGAATCCCAGTATTACTTGTATCTTTAAGATTTTATATCATATAGTCTTTAAAAAGCTTCCACATGGCATTTTAATTTTTTATTAAACTAACATATATAGAAGCAAAATTGACACCACCTTTTATCTTGCTAATACATTTCTTGCAATTTAGTCTTAATCTAAAGTTGTCTAGTTTATATTTGTAGGAAAAAAACTATTCAATTTTTATTTATTCTATAATAATTTTATATGAATATATTACAATTTAATAGCAATCAATAAATAATATGTATTATTCAATTTTTCCAACAAATCTTTAACTTTTTAGAAACATAAAAAGATAGGTTGTTAAGTTTATTGCATAAGTAATTGCTTGAAAATAGATGATGTGGAAAATTTGCTTAGAGTATTTTCTGAAATATTCTTAAATATTTTAAAACCTTGGTCTATTTTTTGTTGAGTTTTTAGAATCTCAAAAATATCTTAAAATATTCCATTAATATCTAAAGGTCCTAAAAATCTTCCATAGTCTTCAAAAAGCTTCTATGTTCCACCAAAACCACCTTAGGTCTATTCTAATCTTTTGTACATTTATATAAAAAATTAATAAGATTTTAATATGTTCAATAGGTTTTAAAATATCTCCTACAAGTTTGTAGATGATCTTTTTATTGTAGAATCAATATGGATAAAAAAACAAATAATATGTTAGACTTGATATTATAAGTTTTAAATTAATTCTTGACCCCCAAAAATAATTAAATGATTAAATCTAATAGAACACAATATTAAAATTTAAATCATTATTTTAATTATGTAACATTTAGTTGAAATTTTATAAACGTAATTAATATCAAATAATATGAATCTACTTTCAATCTATATAACTCCTCTTACGATAAGACAATTAATTCTAAAATATAAAGAATCTAAGACACTAATTTTCAAATACAATTCCAAGACTTTTTTTTTGAATTACATATGATTTTAGGTTTTAAAAGATTTAAATATTTATAATATCAAAATAATCAAACATTGCTTTTTAGATTGTATAAAATATACTTAAAATTATAAATAAATAAAATATAATTAAGATCTTTTTAACAATATTTTATAGCCAAATCATTAAAATAAGATATATATATGTATATATATATATATATATATATATATATTAAGTAATTTTTAAGAGTGGACTTAATAGTAATGAATTTATTATCATTATAAAAATTTTATTTTAATATTTTTATTTGAAAAAATTAAACTCTTTTTTAAAAAATTAAATATCTTTTCTTTGATAACAAAAATCAAAAATAAAAATAAAGCTCAACCTTGACTTTTTGTAGCTTATTAGCTACATGAATAAGCTCATTCATACATCAGACAAGCCCCTCATAGTTTCATAATTCATGAAATGTAGCCAAGTAAGAGTATACCAATACTAGTGTGATGCACATGAACCTACAATAAAACCTGAGACACAACTCATATGAACCTGAGAATAATTTTTAAGCACCTAAAACAGAATGTCAGAAACTCGACGTCGAACCTCTATATCAAGATGGGTAATTCAAGCCATCATGACACGTTGAAGCGACACCCAACAATGAGAAATGCGGCAAAAATTGTTTGAAAACTTCTCAACTTATCAGTAACTCCCAACTCCCGTATTCATATGGCTGGAATATTGGCCAAGTCATTGCGGTGAGCTCAAGCTGATTTGCACACCTCGCTTGACACGGTCATTTTCCTGGTGCCGCAATAAGTAGCAGTAATTAACCTGCACATTTATTACCGAAATTAACGTGAATTCCATCAGGAAGTTTGTTGAAATTTAGAGAACAGGCATAACTGTCATACAATATACGCTTAAATGCATTATAACACCAACAAAAACAAAAAACAAACAGCTCATGTTCATTGGAACCACAATTAATTTTACATAAGCCAAAAGAGAATAAGCGTTAGGACTTCTTGACGTCGCCAAAAAATACGCGAAAGGTTAAGCAGTGCGGGACGATGATGAAACACATAAATCCAACATAATGATGGCGTACACACCTCAAGGCGAAACAATTTAGTCGGAATCACAATTCCAGCTCCCGACGAGACGCGGAATCCAGAAAGGAAGTTCCTCGGAGACCACTGGGGGATATTTTCCCCTGTCAGAGGAACCAGGTTGCCAGCGCAAGCAAAAGTGTGGGCATGTATTCCATACTGATTCAAGAATCGCATCGGCAAATCAAATGAAAAATCAGCAAAACCAGAAACTGCTAAGTCACCGCCTAATGTGTCCCTCTTGGGACGTGTATCCACTTCTCCTTCTCCTTTGTTTGTTGGGGAAGTTAGGGATCTACGAAGCTCACTAGGACCAACACCTCTAGTGCGAAAGCCCAGAAGAGCAGATGGACCCTTTAATTCACCAAGAAGTGACGAATGACCTCCCATATAAAATCGATCACTTATGGGGGTTGCTTTCGTTTTGTAGCCTGGTCCCCACGGCAATATGACTCCTCCAGCCACTCCTAAATTTATAGCTGCATTTGCAAATCCTAATGGGATTGCAAATCTCAACTCAACTTCCTGTGAAAAGCCCACGATACCAAATCTCATTAATTGACTTGCAAAAGTGGACCAAAATGACATACAATGAGAAATTATTTAATGAAGAAAAAAGAACTTACACCGATGTAAATGAATTAGGATTCACAACGCCACCTACATTACCGACAAACACTAATCATGCATTATATATGAGAAATGAGGTGGGCACTATCACCTGGCGTGCAAAACGTAGGAGCTTGCTATCTGGTCCCAACCCTGCAATCTGCGTGGTTGAGACGAAAGCAATACCCCGCCGTGGTCGAAATACGGAGTCTCTGTCATCAATCTTGTAGGTGTATTTAACTGCTGAAAGAAGGCTATGACCGAGCTGTCGCCTAACCGATTTAGAGGCACAACGTGAGGGATCCTTGAGGTCACGCCAGGTAAGATTGTAGGATATGTCGTGCTGGTCATCACCTACCAAGCCTACAGAGAACCCTGTCAGACGTTCTCTGTAGGACGAGTAACGTTTCCAATCTTGTGTAAGGAGGGTGAGCCGGGTTACTAAAGAGGCCGGCAACCCTTTAAACCTGGGATAAGTGACGCCTGCACTGAGTTCTGAAGTTGTGTCCAGGCCATAGCAACCTGTAGCATCAATAGTTTCAGCAAAGCCAGACAGATTTTTGTACTTGACGAGTCCTTCCAGAGTCCAAGCTTTGGTCTACACACAAAACCCATTCCCAAAATGCGCAGTCAAAGTTAAAGGCATGAAGTCATCCCACACAGCTTAACTGGAAGATCTCAAACGCAAAGGGCGCATACCCAGTTCTCAATCGTATAATAGAGTAGTATATTGAAGAATTGTTGAAAATCAACGTAGGCATGTACAAGGGCACAAGGAAGAAGAAGGAGGCGAACATGAACCAAGTGGTATGAAGTTGTTGCACACTGGAACCACTAAAACCCTGAACCCTTTCCATTTGTGTACATCATTTCTAAAAAGTATACAAGATAAATTGGAAATCAAGGGAAGATATGCAAAGCAATTCTGTGACAGAGAATAAACGCATCTGCCGCTCTGAAAATACAGTTATAAAGCTAGAGAATTCTAGGTTCTGCGATAGCTATTATTAATACATAATCTGAGAAAGTGATACTCGATATCATAAGATTGTGCTTTCATACCAATTCAACAAAGACGCCAAATCAACATTGAAATGCTTCATCTGCCTTGGTAAGCCACACAGAATAAACCACCAGTAACATCAAAGCCGATACAATGTACAGCCCGAACCAACATTTGAAAAGTGAAAAATGATACCAATTACTCACCTCGGGTTTAGAGAACACACCAAGATCACCAGAAAAAGGCCGTTTCGCTTCTTCTACTTCGACAATCACGTTAGCCTGAGCAAACATAGCGTTTGTAAGCAGACCTTCAGTTGCACGTGTAGCCCAGGTCCAGTTTACTAACGTAATCATGTATGTTTTCCCCTAAGGATGAATTCTCCATCCAACTTGGAACTGTGGATTGAAGAAAGTGTTCATCACGAAATTCAGTGCACAATCGCAATGATTTCACTCATTTAAGGATAATCAATCACATCGGTGTCGACTTCGTAAAATTTAAGTAAAGAGTTTTCAAATGCAAATCATTGCATACGCATGTGCAATAGCACTCGATGGCCAGTGCTGTAGAAGCTGCAGTGGAGCGCCGTTACACAAGAGAGATTCCCAATATTTTCGAGAACACGTGAATGAGAAGGATAAACAGAAACTAAGCCCTCATTCTTGCAAAATTTAGTTCCAAGTGAAAACTAATGCATCCAAGGTAGGCTAACACTGAAAGACGAAGATGTCTAGCTTCACAATCCAATCCAGAATCACGGTATTAAGGGGAAAAAGACAAAAGAAAACCATTACCGTGCCAGGAAGCTCTTCAGGTCCGGCATCCAATGTAATCACGCAACTATCAAAAATGCCAAGGGCCCGCAAGCGAGAATTCGCATGAGCAGATTTCTGGAGTAGATCCTGCATGGTACTAACGTCCCGGAGGTCCGTCAGATAAGCCTCAATCACACTACCCTTCGTCTTGGAATTCCCTATGATCACAATGTCGTGTACCCGCACTTGAACAGTTTCGTTCACCAGCTTCTCCGTCATGGTTTTGATCAAGTTCATGCTAGCCTCATCATCCACCGCCTCCTCCTCCTCTTCTTCCATTCCGCCATCTCGATATTCCGCTTCCGAGTCCCCCCTCTCTTTTAAATTCTCCTCATCGCTCTTCCCCCGCCGATCCCCCATCCCATGATCCATACCTACTAGGGTTTCGCTCCCTACTAACACTAGCAAAGTAGTAAAACCTGCGAAACCCTATAATCCTAGACTGCGCTCACGCCTCAGAGTTCTAACCCACCTCGAGCAATCCCCATTGACCCAGAAAAAAATAAACCGTTTGGTCATGGCGGCAACTCGAGCTTCGGTGCTCTTCCTCGACACACGATGGATGCACTTGCTCAAAAGCTCAGGTTGGCCATGCCGGTTCTCATGCGAACTGGTATCAAGTGCAGCCGATGAATCCGTGTATTTTTACCGAGTATCAATCCAGGTATCTGTTCGTCTCTCATCTTAGGGCTTAACAGAGTTTACCTTGAACCCTGGGGGTAGGGCTGTGAGATTCAGTCGGAACAGGCTTATGCTTTGTGGAACCAGGTTGTGAGAGGGATTCTATTGAAAGCCGTTCGAAATTGTGCTGTTATTTCTCTTTTTACAGTTGTAGTTCTCTGTGTCTTCTTTCACAAGTTTTGAAAACCTTCCCAGGAGCTAAAATTTCAATGAATGGCTCCACTCTTGCCTTGTTTCTTCGAAATGTGTGACGATTTCTTCGAAGCAGTGCATTGTTCTTACTCGCATCTGGGTAGAGGTAGCGGTTTAGCTGATGCAGTGCCCCCCCTCTCCTTTTTCCTTCTTTCACAGGGTTTAATATGCAGCAGATCGTGCAGGGCCGCCTTGTAGACGTCTGTTTGTTTTTAACAGTTACTTCAGAATAAGAATGGGAATTTAAGAATTGGGATAAAAGGGAGCTGTGATGGAGTAAGTTGAGGAGCGCATCGATGCCTCAAGCGAGGTAGTCGTGGACACTATAGAATGAGGAGATTTTGGAAAAGCGTGCGAGGCAGGGGCAGGCAAGAAAGACAGACTTCCTGTTTAGCTGGCCAGTTCCTTCAGAAAAACCTACTGCTCCGGGAAATCAATGAATCTGGCACTGACACTCTTGCTTCTATGTCGTGTTCCTGCCCCTCGACTCGCTCAAGCGTTGCTAGCGATGTGACGACTATGGTACATGTGTTCGTGCGTTCTGTTGAATCTAGTTGCGCTTCCTCTCCTAGTGATGTGCCTCCTTTTTCTCAACGCCGGATTTATTCGACTCTGGAAAATCGTGAATATTTTGTGAGTCAAGAATCAGTGAAAAAGAGCAAATTCAGAATAGATGTTGGCCGTGGGATTAGATCTTTCGTCGGCCTTACTAGGAACTCAGGAGGGATTGTTTCACCATCTCGACAATTTCCGTCCGGTGGGAATTTGTATCATGTCGTCCGATTTTTTCATGCAAGATATGCAACAGCTGCAGCTGCCATTGAGAGGGATTACATAATTGCAGGAACGAGGGTTTCTGAAGGCGTCAATATTGAAACCTCATTATCTAGCGCCGAGTTAGTTGATGGGACAGAGCCATTGACTGCACTTAATGTGGAGCTCACTGAGAAGGACGGGGCTTTATCACATGTCGCGGAGCTTGAGACGAAGCTGCGGTGTCTAAGAGATTGGGGGCTTACAGACGAGGAACTTGCTAAACTACGTCGTCATGTACCTACTTCTGTCCGAAGTGCCTTGTTAAATAACTCCGCGAAGAAGTTAATTGAGGTTGCAGCATTTCTAGTTGAAGAATGTGGGGTGAAGAAGCTGAATGTCGCAGATGCGTTGCTTGGGAATGTCTTTCTGGCCAGTAGCAGAATTGAAGATTGTTTGAGACCCAAGGTAGGTTTATCTATGTTGTTGCAAGACTCTTAAAATCTGTCGGTGCCCTGTGGACGTCTAAATTATATATGACTGAATTTCAGACTTTCTTCTGTGGTGGAAGAGCTAAAGTTTGTGGGTTTGAATCACATCTTTGACTACTTTTAAGATTTTTCTTGTAAATTTCGAGGACCGGTACATTCCTGTTTGCTATGAACTCCATCGCCATAGTAGGCTGGTACTCCGCAGGTTTACTTTAGTCTTCTAAACCATCGTGCAACGTTCGCAGCGACAGTTAGGGACGAAGAACATGCGTCAGAGGTACTAGGTGTGATATATTGCTATGTCACTTGCTCTTCGAGCATAGAAGCTTCACGTTGTTATATTTCGAATATTAGTATTATACTTGAAATTATGATCGTTCTATTCTTAAAAGTTACCTAGTTAAATGCGCAAGGCAACCGAGTCCAGGAACTTTACGTTGATTCGACAGAACTCTTCTAATTCTCTTTTTTCACTGGACAGGCGTTATACCTGCTATCCCTTGGTATTACAAAGGAACAAGTAGGCAAGATCATAGACCGCCACCCACAAATTTTGACGTACAATATGGAGCAGCGAGTACTGCCTATGCACCGCAAACTCATCGAATGTGGTTTGAAGGTTGGATTTCTGGACTCAGCTATCTACAGAAAAAGCAAGTCATGTTAATTTGGTTGGCGCTTTGTTTTCTAGTCTAAGAGGAATTTAGTTGTTGATTATTTGTGTCAGTAATGGTAATGCATGTGATGTGTAGTTTATCTGAAATCAGGCGTCCATTTCAGATAATATTTCAGTGACCCTTTCACGTTATCGTAACCCTCTATATTGTTGATGGGTGCTTTGGATGCTGATCTACCGCAGATAGAAGGCATAGGAAAGGCCGTGATGAAATTCCCAGGACTCTTTGGCACTGGTATCAACAAGATTGACCGGACCATAGAATTCTTGAAAGCTGCAGGCGTGGTTGAAATAGCCAAGTGTATCTCCAGACACCCGCAGGTATATTGGACAATGTCATCAAATTTAGAATTGAGTATCTTTCATGGTTTGATGCAATTATTGGTTTGCAAAATTTTATTCACAGGTCAATTCTTTTTACGCCAGCAAAATACCGTTCAGGTCGATCAATTATAGCTAGCTTACTTGCTGAGCCCAGTTTGGTGATGTTTGGTTACCATTGGCTCCTGTATTCGTACATTTCATGCCGATTTTTTCTAATGATTATCATTGTGTTGCAGATTCTAAGCTTGAGCTTGGATGGCAAGGTTCATAACATGACGGCGTTTTTAAAGTCTGAGCTACTACTGGAACCTGAGATTATCAACAAGACGATTGCTATTCAACCATGTATTTTCACTCACAGCGTGGAACACAATGTCCGTCCAAAAGTGATGTATTTCTTACGTCTTGGTCTCGAACGGCGAGAAGTTGGCAGGTACAAAGCATGTGCTCCTCAAAGTCACGTGAAAGCATAGCTAGAACACTAAACGTTATCGTTTCGTTGATTTTCTGGTTTCTGCTCTTGGTCAATGTTTTTATGAAGGTCTCGGTTGTGCAGCTAGTCTATTTTCATTGATATGTTTTGCATGCATCTAGCAAATCTCTTTGCTCTGCTATGGTAATGTTGCTATGCTATGCAAGGTTTAGTTGTAATAATTATTAGTGCATAAAATTTACTTTACAGTCGCAATAACCTAACTATTCTGCGATTCTTTTTTACGGTAATTTTCGGGGAAATGTCTATTGTGTAGCGCCAACTGTCATTTCTGGTCAATGATTTTGCGAAGTGTTAAGACTGCCTGCATCACTTTTCAGCGATGCATTTGCGTTGAAACGTATGCTTCTCGTAATAACATGAACAGTCAGATTCATAGTGTGTGCAAAGTTAGATTATCCTTGCACTTTTAGCGAAGTTATCTTGACGCTTTGTGTATGATTTTCATGTGTGCAGAATGATTGCTGTGTACCCAGCTCTTATTGGCCACAGCTTGGAGACCTCTATCAAGCCAAAGATCGACTTCCTTCTTAATGTAATGAACAGGAGTGTTAACGAAATTGTTTCATTCCCTCAATATCTAAGTTACAGCCTGCCTTGTCGCATCCAGCCTAGATACGAGTACCTCGCAAACAGGGGCAGAAATGATATCAGTCTTTCATCAATGTTGACATGCAGACTTGATATTTTCAATAAGCGATATTCGAGTGGCTTCGACTTATCCAGCTGTTAGGTGGCAGATTGAAATGAAGCTCAAGATGCTGTCGATGTTGCATACAGCGATCGGTACAGATGGATTTGAGAAGAGAAACTTTGAGGGTTAGTCACCGTTTAGAATGACAGCCGTCACGGTTTTTCCTGAGGATTTAGGTCATAGTGTCATTCTACCTAGAATATTATCAGGATAACATTAATTGGTTTTGACAGTTTTTCTTGAACTTTCAAACCTAGGAAATTCTAAGTTTAATCTATTATAACACTTGAACCAAAACGTACAGTGTACAAGTGACTTCAGAAGACCTTTTACAAATTTTAGGTCAAATGTTCCTTCAAATTCCTTCGAAACGGGATTGGATAGGTGTTGATGTGTTCAGAGACACAATATCATGTTAGTTACCAAAACAAAATGCATGTGGAGCATATACAAGTGAGTGTAAAAGATAACAATGTCATGCACATAATTGCATCCACGGCGATTCAATTGTTCTATTAGCTACAATGAAAGAACTTTGACCTAGGCAGTTGCTAATCAAAAAAGAGGTAGATCTTAGAATTCCACTCAGTCATTTATTGACCAAATGTTTTCAAGTGGGTTCACTTGTACATATATACATGTTTGTTATTACAAAATGTTTGTTACAATAACAAACATTTTGTAATAAACTTTTTTGATTAAGATAATGAAGGATTCATTACAATGTTTTAAATATCATAATTTTTAGTAGTCTCATATACAAGCTATAATATATTTGTGAGTCAAATCCCTCAAGCAATGACAATGTCAAAAAGATCCTTTAAAACTTGATTCATCTTATATAAACTTTCTTTTAAACAAATTTTGAAATCTTAGCTAAACACAAAATAGACATTATGTAATTTCTTCCACCTCTATAAGTTTTATTTTTATTTTTATTGATTTTTGTTCAATACTAAGAATTCTAAAAAAGAACTCTAAGGCTCCTTCTTAACTACCAAAAGTAATTATAAACTCTGAAAATTACAACAATATTGATATAAAATGCAGCTAAAAGTAAAGAATAAACAAAACCAAAATTCAAAAGATAATGACTATAAGCCAACTACTCTAATTAGAACTAAATTCAAACCGATTTCTATTACTTCCAACTAATAATATTAAAAAATAAATATATAAAAAATCATTTTAATATCTTAAAATTTAGAATTTTAGAATCTTTAATTTTTTAGATATAAAAAAAGAAGTGGCTAATATTAGTAGATGTTCAAATCTATTGAGTCTTTAAAAAAAGTATAATATTACCATATCTTTATTTTTCATTAATTTTTTAATATGTTTGCAAAAAAAATACCAAGCTTTTTAGACTTAAGATAAAAATTATATAATTCATTAAATAGTTCTGTATTGTAAGACCAATTATGGTTTGTATTTAATATAAAAAAATCAATTTTATTTATGTATAAAACTTCTATACTTAGATTCATAAATATGGATATTTTAACAAAAAGTTTGTATTATACTACAACAAATATGCTCATGTGTCACAGCCATAATCATGTAAGCTAATAATTACATATAGAAATAGGTAGAAGTAACTAAAAGTAGGTAAAAGTAAGTTAATTCTATAATATTTAATATGAAAGCTTCCTAGAAACTTCCTAGATGCTGCTTTGACTTCATAGGTGTCTTTAATTGACTTTTTGGATTAGAAACGTGGTCAACAAGTTGGCCATGTGCCACACATGTTGTTAGCTTGAAGATCAAGCTAACTATGTGGCCCACATGTAGAAAAACTTGCCTTGTAAGTCAAGGCATGTGCCCTACAAAGTCAACACATATTGGAGGTCTTATAGAATGTCGCCACGTAGCCCCTAGTTAGATAGTATATATAGAGACAAGAGTGAAGGCTTCTTCACTCTTGTCAACTCTTTTCTTGCTTCCAATCTAGTTTCAAGGGTCTCTAGTTTTCTTGTCTTTTGGCAATAGCCATTCCAGTTTCTCTTTCAATATACATACTTGTTTATTTATATTTTGTTACCTTTCTTTGAGTGAAGGCTCACTTGTCTGAATTGTTTTTTCATTAAGTTCTTGTCCTTGACAGATTGACAAGAGTACACCTACAATATCAGAGCTTCGTCTAATCTTGATTAAAAGTGGATTACCCCTTTTTTTTGATAAGATATAAGCGTATTAGAAGTTGCGGATTACCCTATTCTAAATTGATATTGTCCTTAGCATTTTCTTTGTCCGCAAGTCCTCTCTTCTATTTGTCTTGAGCGATATTAGACATCTTCTCTCTTCTAAGTGTTATCATGGCAGAACTTCTTGAAATGAAGAGTGCAATGGCACAAATGCAAGAGCAATTGAGGGAGTTAATACTTGCAATGCATCAACTCAATTTACCACCACAAGGAGCAACAAGATTGGCAGGAAGTAAAGATATAGAAATGGTTTGAGCTACTTCAACATCTGCACCAAACCATGTCCTTTCTCCTATGGTGGAACGCCCTTCAAATGTTAGAGAACCAAGAATTGCCCTACCCGAGAAGTTTGATGGCACCAGATTCAAGTTTCGAGGATTTATCAATCAAGTGCAACTTGTGATTGAACTTCAACCCCAAAGCTATCCAACTCCAGGATCACAAGTTAGATTCATTCGTACGCTTCTTTCAGATTCGGCACTATCGTGGTTTTCATCTTTTCTTGAACGATGAGATCCAATATTGGATAATCTAGAGGCTATTTTGGCAGAGTTTCGATCCATGTATAGAGAACATGATGCAATTCATGTTGCAACCAATAAGATCCGTATTTTACGATAAGATAATCGATCAGTAACGTTATATGCTTCACAATTTCGATAACTTGCAACTGATATCAAGTGGGATGATGCTGCACTTATTAGCCAATTTCTCTACAAATTACAATATGAGGTAAAAAAATTAATGCTCAACTTACCTGATCCTCAAACATTGACTCAAGCAATTGACTTTGCTATGAAGTGCGACAATCGCCTTTTTGAATTCCGATCTGAGAACCGTACAAGTGGACCTCAACGTTACTATAATTCAATGGCAACACCAATACCTCTTCAACACATACATTCAGAAGTAGAGGATATGCAAATTGATGCAATATGTTTCAAACCTCTTACTGAGCAAGAAAAGACTCGTCGTCGTCAAGAAGGATTATGTTTATATTGTGGAGAACCAAAGCACACTGCTCAACATTGTCCAAAGAAACGACGCAATCACAAAATGAGGAATATGGCTGTGAAAGAAGACAATATGTCAGAAAACGAGTTTGTCCAGCTACAATAGGGACCGTGCGGCTGGAACCTTACACAATTTCTAGTAAAGGTCCTATTCTCTCCTCAGAGCCCTCTCTTTGTTTTACATTAAATGTTACTTTAGGACCTAAACATTACAAAGTCTCTGCCTTGTTAGATTCAGGAGGCTCAGCGTGTTTTTTAGATGAAGAATTTACTAAAAGACATAGCATATCTTTAGTAAAGAAAACTAAACCTGTTCATGTAGAAGTCATAGATGGTCGTCCATTGTCTTCTGGAGATATTACTCACGAAACCCTTCCTATAGAAGTAATAATCAATGGTCATAATAGTTTTGTAGTATTTAATATCATTAGATCTTCCTCTAATCTAGTCATTTTAGGTTTATCGTGGTTAGAAAAATACAACCCTCAAATAGACTGGATTTCCCGAATTCTTACTTTCTCTAAAAGTATAATTAACAGTGTAGTTAAGCAAGTAGAGAGTCATAAGTCCAGTTCAATTAAACTCGTATTTATAGGTGCAAAAGCTTTCTTGCATGCTGCTATGAAAGAATCACCATACATTATTTATGCTACACCCATTTCTACTGATGAAAAGACTTCAAGTGGCATTCTAAGCCAATATCAAGAATTTCAAGATGTATTTGAAAAAAAGAATGCAGATACACTCCCGGAACATCGTCCCTATGATTGCTCAATTGACCTTCAAGAAGGAGCACAACGACCATTCAGACCAATCTATAGTTTATCACAAAATGAGTTGGCTGAACTCAAGGAGTATATTGAAGAAAATCTAGCCAAGAATTTCATACGCCATTCTAAATCTCCGACAAGGTCTCCAATTCTATTTGTGAAGAAAAAAGATAGATCATTGCGAATGTGTGTTGATTATCGAGGACTCAACAAGATTACCATCAAAAATAGGTATCCACTACCTTTAATATCCGGACTTCTTGATCAGCTGAATCAAGCTAAGATCTATACAAAAATAGATCTTCGGAGAGCATACAATCTAGTACGCATCAAAGAAGGAGATGAATGGAAGACTGCGTTTCGAACTAAGTATGGACATTTTGAATACAACGTCATGCCTTTTGGACTTACAAATGCACCAGCAGCTTTTCAACATCTAATGAATGATGTTTTTCGAGAGTTTTTGGACGATTTTGTGGTATGTTATCTAGACGACATCTTGATCTATTCTAAGAATCCAAAAGAACATGAACTTCATATTCGTCGTGTGTTACAAAAATTAAGAGATGCAGGACTCTATGCCAAGATAGAAAAGTGTGTATTCCACACTACTCAAGTCGATTTCTTAGGTTACATCATTTCAAATGATGGACTTATGATGGATCCTAAGAAAGTTCAAACTATTATAGATTGGAAGATCCCAAAAACGGTAAGAGATGTCTAATGTTTTTTGGGATTAGCCAACTACTATCGGATCTTCATCAAAGACTTCTCTCGAGTTGCAGCTCCACTTACACGTTTGACTTGTAAAAACAAACTCCAAAGGAATCAAGAAGCGGAAGTTGCTTTTGAATCTTTGAAGACAATGTTTGTTTCTGCACCAATCTTGTATCGTGTTGATTTTTCCAAAGAATTCTTTATAGAAATAGATGCATCGGACTTTGCTCTGGGTGCGGTTTTATCACAAATGGGAACAGATAACAAACTTCATCCAGTAGCCTTTCATTCAAGAAAATTTTCAGCAGCAGAAATCAATTATGAGATCCACGACAAAGAACTTCTTGCAATTGTGGATTCTTTTCAAGAATGGCATCATTATCTAGAAGGCGCTTCTAGTCCAGTCACTGTGTATACGGATCACAAGAACCTCGAATATTTTATGTCAGCACGCGTATTAAATCGTAGCCAAGCTCATTGGAGCATGTCTTTATCAAGATTCGAGTTCATCATCACTTATCAGCTAGGAAAACAACAAGGTTTATCTGATGCCTTGTCTAGATGTTCTTATCTTGCACCAAAAGAAGGAGATGGAGCTTTTGAGCAACAAAGAACGGTTCTCTTGAAGCCGGAACAATTTTATCTTCGAGCAATAA